CGGCCCTGCTCCCGCTCCACCGCCTCGGGGTGGGCGGCTGGCCGAGGGAGACCGCAGCTACAGCGCTTCGCCCAGGCTGCCCTTTCTTTTTGCTGTTACCTCCTTAAACAAATAACTATTTACAAGCTGCAAATGGAGAGAACAAAGGAGGTGGGCATCTCCAACCAACCCTGGCTCTCCTGCCTGCGCAAAGCAGATCCCTTCCCTAAACACGCTGTTGTCGTGAACCCAACATCTGCATGAGCGCTCAGGCTATCACACTGCACAGCAGCCCTTCATTGGTCCGTGCTGGTGCTCACAGGGTGCTTATCTGTCCCCCAAGGATATCACTTGGGCCACTTCAGATTTTTCTCCCCCTTTCTTCCTCTGAACAGCAGTGCACACTTATGTCACTTCACAATCGGCAGCTTACAGTCCAAAGGCTCCAAATCCACCCTCCACCCCACCCAATTCTGCAATCACTTCCAGATGGACAGATACTCATGAAGGGCCCCTTTGATTTCAAAAGGTCTCTCTGCAAACACAAAGGTCATTGTGGCAGCAGGATCAGGGCCTCCGGGGAAGATCCTTGCAAGGAGAAGCACAGAAATAAACAGAAGGAACTGTTTAAACCACACTTCCAGAGGGCAAGATCACTCTTGTCTCTAAGTAGCCCTTTTACAGCCAGTGGGACCTCATTTGAGTAAAATTTGGCCCTACATTTTCACAACCTCTCTCAAACAAGTTTCATCCTTTAAAAGCTTTTCAGGACAATAGGAGTGCTAAAAATAAGAGCAGAGGAGGAGACAAAGTTAAGAGGTACAAGCAGGCAAATAGAGGGTTCACTTCAGTTGCAGAAAGAGAAGGGTTCACAAGGCAGAAGTACACTGGAAGCTTTTTCCCTAGGACAAAAGCAGCAAAGGAGAAGGCCTCACTCACACAGTCCCTTTATTTGGAGCAGATTATACAAAAAATGGGAGGACCCCAGCAGGGGAGGGAAGGAAAGAAAAGTTCCGTGAGGTCAGTGGCCACAAATAGCCCTTGGAAAAAAATCCCATCTTAAGGGCCAAGCTCGCTTCTCAGCCCAAACCTGCAATTAGCACCCTCAGTGTCTTACCTGTGTGAAGAGCTTGCACATATTTGCCATTTCTTTTCTGACTTTCTGGAGAAGAGAGCCATTCCCTATAGTTGAATAATCCCATAGCAGGATCTCTTGCTACATTCCATATAATTTGACTGAATGCTAATAGCTCGGGCCAGAAGTTTGTTATAGGGGTGTGCGGCAGTGTTCTTAGCAGAAGGAAATTTCCATTAAAATGTCTCAGCCATGTTTCAGAACAAGAGTAGTGGAAATCATGCTGTTAAAAGAAAACAGCCTGCACTGTTCTGGGAAGTTTCATCAGGCTTGTGCGTGGGAGCAGAGCATTGCAATTTGACATGGGTTGGCCTGGGTGTCTTAGATGCGCCCTTTGCCATCCCTGTGGAAAACCCACTAATATTTGGCCAAGCTGCAAATCTTACATGCCCTCTTCCTCACCTAAAAACTTTGCTTGCCTAAGTTGCCACAGCAGCGTGCAAAACCAGGATAGGATTAGTGCCCATTAAGAACCAGACTCAAAGGAGATGGTCCTTGCATATAAAAGCTCAGAGCCTTGACAGGAAAGAAAGAAATACAAGCAGAGAACATGAGAAGTCCTCTGGTGCCCCATACAAGGCTATGGATAAACAGCTTGCCATAGTCTATTGCTCCTTGCCTTCCCCACATGTAAATGTGCTGAGAAAACAAAAGCGTTTGCAACCACCCCATCCTCACAACTTTCCACCCACTTGCTGTTGTGTGCATGCTGTCAAGAAGAATGATGCATAGATACCTACACCTTCTTCTACCTTTATTCATTCCAAGAATACAACTGCCCTGTCCTTCTCCACACCCAAAAAGAAAAACTTCCTCCCCTTCTAAAAAAATTAATGCATGACATTCTTTTTTATACAGTTTAAGAGGCTTTTCCCTCCCCTCCCCCTAAATGAAAAGGTGAACATTTAAGACCAAAGCCAATGAAGGCCCTTTCTCCTTGCTCTTTCACCCCAAAGTGAGTCATCAGTCAGTACTCTAGGGGCCATTAGCATCTGAAGTTTACCCTCCCATGGCAGAGGGCAATAATTACGGCTACTTTCTCATCTACTTACAGTAAGGCTCTGTGGTCAGTTTCCTCATTATGAGCACGAAACCAAGGTACTTAAAACACCACAACAGCAGTACCACCAACACATCAAAGAGAAAGGATGCTCGTAATGAATGAGCAGTTTTTTCTAAGAAACCATCTCAGTGGTAACTCAGCAGGGACCGAGGCCATGCCGGAGCTGGGCAGCAGGAAGGAGCAGCTTCTTGAGAACCACTCTGCTGCCTGCAATTCCCTGCACTCCTCACCTTTGCGGAGGTGAGAAGCAGACCTTTAAACTCACTCTGTTTGCCATAGCCAGGGCTGCCCACTGCTGGAAAGGAGGCTGCCTTGCCTCTGCTCTGCTTGCTCCTGCCTTGTCTTCTGTAGCAGGCAGCCCTAATCCAGCTGCTCCTAGCAGTCTGCTCAGGAATGGAGCAGGGGGCCCAGGGCTGAGCTTACATATTGCTGGGGGGTAGAAGTGGGCAGAGGATGAGTGGGTCAAGGCCTGGGTGGTGCTCGTCAGGGCAACTGGTACCTGCTGGGGCACTCAGTACCCTTATGCTAGGTGCTTGTCAAACAGAGCTCAGACATCGCACTGATGTCAAACCATATCTCCTTCAAGGTCATCTGTTAAGGATGTGTCTAGTGAACTGGGTACAATGCCATTGCCTTGCTTGGTCAAGGCACCAGTAGATGGACGTTGCAGGCCACCACAGCTGTTGCAAACGCCTATTTTGTCAGTGTAAGAGGTTTAAGACTAGATTACAGCCATCTATAAAGAACCCAGCAGAAATGGAGTGAGGAAAGCTTGACTTCACTCACTTTTGGACTAAGTAGAAGAACATGCTTTTGGATGGAGGCAGAGCAGGGGATGAGCAGGCTTCTCTATGCTCTTGGGCGAATGTTTTTCCCTGAGCACTAATACTCAAAGTCTGCAGGACCTTTCAGCAGAGCTAGATCATTCCTGAGACTCAGCAGACCCTTAGGAAATGTCCTGTCACCCAAGCCTTGTGCCCTGATCAGATTGCTAATGCCACTAGCGTAGCCCGAGAGGCAGCCTCTGTCCCAGCCTGTGCTGGGCATCTTGCCTGGGTATAGCAAGGCATTCTGTCCCCTGTCCTGGCCTCATCAGGTTTATTTCCCCGCTGGCCTGACGAGAGCCCCATGTGCATACACTGAAAGCCAGGCAGGCTTTTCTTTCCAGCACTCTGACTAACTGGTTGCACAGATGGAGTTCAGGAAAGTAATGCGAAGGCAAGGGGAAGGGAAAACAGCCTTTTGGTTGTGCTCTGAATCTCTCTCCTTCATTTGTCCCGAATACGCTCAAATTGAAAAATACAAATCAACCAAGAGCACACTTCTGCCTTTTTGGTCTGTGAGATTCCGATCTGATTTATGCTGCTGTTAATCTCAACTAAAATTGATCTAACTGAGGCCAGGGATCACACAGAAATGTTCTGCCTTGACCTATTTAGTCTTCCCTCCTTAAGTCCTCATTTTCATGCCAAACTCAACTTTTAAAGCCACATGAAAGAAACAACAGTGCTTTTTGAACGATTCAAAGAGGCAACTCTTCTTCAGGGGTCTAAACACACACACACGAAATGTTTTTTCACTAGTGTTCACAGCACCACAGAGCTTGCAGAGCTCCAAGAGACTTAACTGGACAGTTTTTGCTCTCTCAGTACTCCAAATTGTTAAGTAAATTCCAGCCATTACTGTGGATATTACTGCAGAGGACCTATGGCTTGGTCTGCAGCTCTGGGAAAGGATTTGTAGCTGTTAGAGAATTGAATCAGGCTTCCAGTCATTTTTCATTAATTAAAAACTATTCAGCATCCCTTTCGTGTGCTCCCCCGCTGCCCCTCCTGAATGCCCTCCTTTGCTCAGCAATTACATAAAAGGAGTTTCTGAATGGTGTTTAAAAACAGCTTAACTGTCTTAAAACAATGCCCAGTATCTTCTCTTTCTGACCTGGTTACCATCCTCTTGTCTGTCCTGGGCAATTCAAAGGTTGGAGAGTGCGGCAGCCTGGCTGTAATTAAATGCACGGCCCTCATGGCAAAGCGCTGGGAGGTTAACTGTGTTCTTAAATCTGTACAGTCCCAATCCCAGATCCAGCCTCTCTTGCTGTGATGCTGACGTCCTGACAAAATGCACATTAAAAGAGAAGCTGTGCTCATTTACGATGGTGCAAGGAGGATGAGAAAGGTAAAGGAAGCCGGAAGGCGAGAGCAGGCAGAGCAGTGCTTGGGGTGCATGGGGGGCACTTCTGCCCCTTTTATTCTGGAAAATAAGTCCCTGGGAAATAGTACATAGCATGGACCTGCTCCTGCTGTGGTCCTCAGCTAGGGTGGAGTAGGAGAAGTGCCACAAAAGCACCACCTTTGAAGTCGCACCAGGGAGTACAGGTGGGGATCCCTCACAGGGCACTGAACTTTATAAGGTCTGAGGTCCTACATGAGAAATCCTGACCTGTGGAGCCCATCCGCTAGTGCTAGCAGAGACAGGGGCTGGCCTTTTGCAGAAAGGCCAGGAGAAGTGGAAGCACCACGTGGAGAAGCATAGCCTGTCTGCAGGAGATTTCAAGAGTTCACACCGGCGATGTGGATTTGGGAGGTACAGGAAAATGCTTCCAAAACCTCCCTGTGGTCAGGGCTGTCCTGCAGCTCCCTGCATGAGTAAAGGCTGCTTTTGGGGAGCAAACCCGTGACTAAGCACTGGCTGTGGATGCTTTTGCAGAAGGCTACTCTTGGTGAGTGCCAAACTACTAGCGAAAAAAGACTAGGATTTAGTCCTTTCTGTATGTCAGTTCTTCTCATTGGAGGAAGATGTGGGCAGGCTTCCCTCTCAGTCCATTTTCTGTCTTGTGCTCAGGGATCGAACAGAAATTGTCACCTGGAGAGCCAAATTCATATCCCTTTTCCATATCATGCTGGTCTAGATGGGAGAGCAGCCTGGCTGCTGCATACTCCCTCCTGCCCCAGCCTTTTTCTGTCGCGCTCATGAATGCTGCCCCCTCCCTTAACATCTGGATCCAACTAGCAAACAACAGGCTGTCTGTAACACATTCCTCGCCTCCCTCGCTGCTTCATGCCTTGCAGGGTCCGTCCTCTTCACAGAAGGAATAAACACAAAGGGGGGCAGGGCAAGGACAGGCGCCGAAAACAGCATGGGGCAGAACGGGTATGGAAGGGGAAAATGCTTGCTCTGTTTCCTTCCCTAAATACAGCTCTCGGTCCATTTCACACAGACTCCCAGATGCCATGCAGACACAGAAATCCCATTTGAACTGTCTCATGGAATAAACATAGTGTGCAGAAGGAAAACCTTCCTGCTATTTCGGGGCAGGGAGGAAGACGTTTAGTCCCATGCAATCGGAGTTGCTCTGCAGTGGGAAGGTGTCTCTTGTGGCAATGCTGCAGCTGTATTGCTGGTACGTTTCTCATAAGCTTTTGGTCCATCCTTGTACCCACAGTAAGTGCCAGTGTCATGCTGTACTCGAGTGCCAAGCTGAGTGCTGATGGCCAAAGACATTACAAGAAAATAAGCCCTATCAACTCAGGACCCCATGGAGATTAACTGGACAAGGCCTGAGAGCAGCTGTACTAGAATATGTCCTCTTGGCCCACTGTCCTGCCTTGGACAAGCCCTGAATCCTAGGGTTCTGGGAAAGCAACCAGACACCCTGTTGTGAGCATCTAAACTAACAGCCCTCGGGGAATGTTTCCTAGGGACCTTTCTCACTTAGAGCTTGACTTTCTCCCTGAAGCGTAGGGACTTTTTCCTCTGGCTGATGTGATCAGTGCAGGCAGGCAACACGGAGCCTGGCATCCTGGGAGAGCGCAGCCCTGCTCCCCACCTCCCTGGGAAAGTGCGCACGGCTTCCTATGAGGGCAATGCATGCAACATGTAGGGAGGAAAGGAATAAAAACGCTATCTCGCCAGCTGGATTCCTCAGATTCCTCACCCGTGT